TATACTAATACTCAAGATTCCAGTAGTTTCTACAATGTTCCACTATATTCTGACTAGCTCAGACAGTGCCGGGCTAAATGATCCGCCCAGAGTTCACTATGGTAAGCATGATTACAACACCTCTGGCGCCTGAGTTGAATGGTGAATCTGTGAAAGTCTGGTGTTCAGCTATGGGATAGTGTGTTGTTGAGTTGGAGTTAGGTCTGCTTATGCTCGGCTTACTACATGACATAGTAGCATTGCTCCTCTAAACTCTCGGCTTCTGACCACATCGTTGGCAGCAAGCTATGCCTGTAAGGAATGTTAATTTGTCAAACTTTGAGCTAACCTTTGCCTGCACCCCTGCAGATTTCAAAGGAAACTGTGTAAGGTAATAATGGACCAAAAAAGGCCATCCTTATTGATTGGAAAAAAGAGTTGAAAAAGGCTTTGGTGCTGTCCCCAAATTTTGATATGTATAGTTTTATATCATATGGCCTATTTAGTGCATTTATTTGCTACAAATCATAACCAACAATACTCAGCTGATATTGGCTTTGAGTGAAGTCCAATCTAATAAGTTAATATATGCCCAATTTCTGGAAAATCAAGTCAACTTTCCTCAAGTTTTATTTGTCATCTTTTCAAGTTGTTAACATATACATTTTTTTTGTCCACCATGTATTTATCATAAATAAATCCAACTTCAGGGCTCATTTTTGGGCAGAAACCCTTGCGTGAATTATATTCAGAATTTTGAATATATGATGGTACTTATTGTGATCAGTTTGTCAGGGGTTGGCCATATGACACTGCTGACATGCATGACACCACTGACAACTGACTGCCATTGGCTGGTTCATTTTATTATGCTTGTTGGCATCCTGCGGCAATATATCAGATCAGTTGAGGTATGAGCTCCCTGTACAAGCCAGAACACCGGTTTGGTTTCAAGTCAAGGCCTTGTATCATAATGTGACTTGAAATGGAAATATTAGTTGGTGAACTATGTGAAATGGAGGGCTATTGGTTTGCAGGGGCAAAGTCACACAACTAGTCTCTAAAGAAAGCCTTTGGAGTAAGTTGCTTGTAAAATAAACTGACTTAGCATGGTTTTGAATAGGTGATGCCATCAACAAATATATAATGAATATGCCCTTGTTATAATATAATTGTATCATATTTGTTCATGTTGATAATTTTTCTACTGAATATACAGGAAGCATATTATCATAACATTTATTCAAATACATTCAAAATATATTCTGGCATAATATAATTGTGGTTAGCAGTAATTACAAGTGGTCATACACATTTAAATCATGAGTTTATTTATGAACATAAATTAAATACAAATAAGTTGTTCAAATGGTTTTCACGTCAAACAGAATCAAATCAATAACAAGAGTACAGGTCAAGTACTTCTAGATCAAACACCACTCATCCTCCAGCTCCTCTCCAGGCAGTCATGTATATCACACCCTGTTGATTCCTACCACACACCTATCCTTTTTGATCTGATCATCACCCTGATGACATCCCTGCTTGTCACTGTTCCTGTCAAATGTCTATGTCTTGTTACATAGCCTTACTCTGACACTAGTGTGACAAGTGCTATGGTCAAACAGCTACTTACAGTCTAGTTTAGTCTGACACTTGTTGCACTAGTATGTGATGTCACAGGTGCAGACAGTATATAAGTAGCCCGCTAGATCTCCTGTACCCTAGTCCTTTTATTCTTGTGAAATCTGTGCAGAAGCGCTAACACAGAATCCAACTAGGCCAAAAGACCACTATGACCAGATGCTGGTCATATGCGCTTCCACTATATATAGCTGGTACACACATTTTGCATGCATGTAACAATTCTCATTGATTACACCAAACACACCTACCTGTTTGAAAGTCTGTCACTAGTAACAAACTCCTACCATCTTACGAATCTTCCCTTTACTTTGTTCTACGGAGCCATCACTTGATCACTCATTCAGTTGACCCATCATTTGATCAAGCTCTGTTTGTGACAATGTAACCCAAATAGTGTCTATACATGCTGAAATGGACATAACATTCATCCGGCCACATGATAGGGCCCGGGTGCTGTGAGCAATGCAAAAAACATTACCCACACCAGTTTCAAACTGGCTGGCCAGGGGGGGTCCGCTGACAGTTGGCAGCTCAGGACAGCCCTGGGTATCACAATCCCAAGGAGTTGGCTATGGGCCAAGCCCTTGATGGACAGGCCCAGGCTTCCCAGGACATCATGTGTCGGTTTCGAAACCGGGTCTGCTGGCTGTGGAATTCAAAACTCATAGGTGTTTTGAACCGGTTTTGAAAAGATTACTCGCATCACCCTAACTGGATCCAGAGTGCCTGGAAACCAGCCAGAGACCCAGTAGTCTACTTGCTATAATAGACATAGTAGTAGACAGAAATACACAAGTACTACTCAAACCCCACCACCAGTGCTACCATATAAGCTGGTATGCCACCAGTGACAGACAAGGCAGTGGAGCTAGTGAACGTTCCACCCCCCATTGAACACTATTGAACAGATGTAGTGAGAAAAAGACCATACTTGACAACACAACAACACACTATTGGAGCATGCAGCTACCACATGAACTAGTGCCTTGCTATCTACCTTTGTTGTGTTGGCTGATATCATCAGTAGATTTGCCCACTCCCAGGACTGTACAGTGTAAGACAAGAACATGGCATTGTTGAGCATAAAATGCGTGCAGGCAGCAGCATATCCCCAGACCCTATTGAACCATCAGCACTTCAGACTGCAGAGATGAATGCCCTGTCAGACTTCGGGTCGGGCCGTGCAAGGACATTTTCTAAGAACACGCGCCCGGAACAGAACAGACGGATAGTCGGGCCCGCAAGGACGGCGAGCGGGGTAGATCGAAACCGTAAGGGCCCGTGAACTCGGTCCCTGGTCACTGTCGGTGGTCGAAGGTTCGAATCGGGTCGTGTCGGGCCCGATGAGTAGAGAACGCCTCCTTGCATGGAGTAAGGTAGTTCTTCAGACGATCTAAGCGATAGGGTACAGGGTACACTATCGCGCCTTATATACGCGGGCCTGCAAAGGGGGTGATCGGACACCCTGGCCTCTCCTCCTCCTCCTTGCTCCCGTTCCTGGCCGCAGGGGGGACGATCGTACGTCCCTTGCGGGCCAGGCGCTACTCCTAACCTCCTAGCACTCCTCCCCAGTCCCCTTGTGTCGAGTTGGGCTCGGCGACAGCTCGACGCATCGTTCTCGGTCACGTGCTTCCCACGTGTGCGTTCCTCCTACTGGGGCGCATGTTCCCCGTTGTCACGTGCTGTGTGCTACGGGCCCGCGATGGCCCGACACCAGCGCCCGGAGCGGACGGGCCGGGTCTTATCCGTGACATGCCATGAGCATCACACACCTCAGGTCTGGGAAGCCCGGCTGGTCCGCCACTGTGAGGCAGAAGTACTTCGCTAGCGGCGCTGCATACAACAAGGCTGTACCAGTGGTACCCTAGGCCTGATCTTGGGGCTCTGTGGCAAACACGAAATCTGCAAGAGTGTCAGTAATGCGGCACTGAGGGAGCACCCACGCTTGCATGTCACCGTTGTTTGGTGGCAATACCCTAGCAATACCGCTCCTGTAGCTGGTAGTATAGTGGGAATGCCAGTGGCCTGGCACCGTAGTCATGGCTGAAGGAGTGCTTAAAGGGGGGAAGACTTCGGAGAAGAGAAAGAGAAGGATTGCACTGTACTATTTCGATTAATTGTCCACGTTACGCGTTACATGCAGTCCCAGCGCGGACACCTGTGGCCGCCGTTACACATTCAAATCCGATTTGCCATCAAATCCAGGCCTAAAAAGGTAATTTTTTTTGTTCCAGCTGATGCGGACTTGCCTTTTATGGTAATCCGGACACCTTGTCCAGCTGACAGTTCGCGTTACGCATTACATGCCGCCGACAATTAATCGAAATAGTACAGTAGTGTGACAGTAACAAAAATTTTCATATCTTCAGCATGGGTGACATTGGGCACCCAATTACAGATCAAAACTGTCAAGTTGCCCAAGTCAGTGGTCAGCCAAGTCCAGTCCAGTGCTACCGGCCCTAACGCTGCATCTTACCTACTTACATTGTCTGATTCCAAGTTAGCAGGTTGCCATTTGGATACTGTTGGTCGTATGTATTGACTATTGTATTGACAAATTTAATAAATAAACCCAGAGAAGTTAAATTCGATTCATCTTTCTATTATTGTAAAGCAAAAATTAATTAATTTGATCTACATAATAATTGTACTGGTATACAGACAAAGATGTCATCTGGATTCCAGCAGATATGCTCTGAGCATATCTGCTGGATATCAGCTGGAATCCAGCTGGACCCAGATGTCAGATTATATGGAAACCAGCTGGGGAGTCTATATCAGCTTCAAGTTAACGTTACACAATAGTCACGGTATTATACGCATATTAATAGCTTTTTAAACACATATGGCTCAATATACTCATAGGTTTTTCATTTCTACTCAAAACACTGCTTGCTCTCAGCCTAGGTCCTACATCCTGTCCAACCCCCTCCATTGTTGTTGCCGCTCGGAATACCCTCAAGTACTTATAGACTCCAGGACAAAGCTCAAGGTCATTGAGAAAGCTTGTCAGTCTTAATTTGAACTTAACTAACATATTCGGCCAAAACCTTGCCAAATGAGGCCTAAATAAGTACCAAGATGCCATTCGTCCCAATCATATGTAAGGATGTGTCATGTCGGGAATTACCGGACCTTCTTCCGTCATCCACTCTCACAAGGCATAGCACATCTAGAGTTTCTGCTCAGGCGCGCGGGGCCCTTTAACCAGACTCCGAGGTGGAGCACTCGAATTATGGCTCCACTTGCCCGCTTGCGAACTTGGTATACGATCCGGGCGCGCTCACGGGGATTCTGATTCTTCGAGTTCCCGCGCGGTCTCCCGAACTGTCGTAACATCCGTCATGTCTGCTGTCTTTTTCCCTTCGACGTCCATGGTCCTCAAGCTCTACAGCGCAAACCACCCTATCGGCGGCTCCCTGCTCGTTGGGGTTGTTCTCAGCGAGCTCCGCGTGCCGTTTGAGCTTGCCCAGCTCGACCTTAGTGTGCCCGCCCGAGAACACAAGACCGCCTCATATATGGCATTGCAGCCATTCGGGCAGGTCCCCGCCATCGTGTGTCCGCCCCACTCGAAACTATCCCGTTCACTAACCATTCGCGCGGGACGACGACGGCTTCGTCCTCTACGAATCGCGCGCGATCTGTCGGTACCTTGTCGCGAAGTATGGCGGGCCGGAGCCGCCGCTTGTGCCGTCGGCCGATGACATTAGGGCTGCGGCGCTCTTCGAGCAGGCCGCCTCCGTGGAGTACTCGCATTTTCAGCCGCACGCCCTCAAGATATACCTCCACGGCTATCTCTTTCCGTAGGCGTCCCCCGCTGTCCCGCTCAGTCAAGCACTGAAGCGGCTCACTTAGGAAGATAAACTTACCATACGATCTACTGGAGCTGAACACCGCAAAGACCGCGCTCGATGTGACGCTGGATGTTTACGAGGCGACACTTGGAAAACAGGCATACCTCTGCGGAAATGTGCGCTCCATCCCATACTTAGTTTCACGTTTATTGAGCTTTGGTACTAGGAAATAACCTTGGTCGATCTTTTCCATGTCGCATTTGGCGCCCACCTGCTCGCAGCCGGCTACGATGGTCTCGGCACATCACAGCGGCCCAATGTTCAGCGGTAAGCATCCCGATAGCAGCGTGATACCTAGTAATGAATGTCAGGTGGTGGACGATGGTGTCATCTCGTTCAACTTTGACGCAATACCAGAGCGGATGGAAGGAGAATTAGACAGGTCTCATTAAGTACGAGTACACATAAGAATATAGACACGAGTTTGTTACAACAATACAGCATCCATCTCAGGCGGTGACTGTCGATTCATCGACGTTCTCGACGACTTGAACCTTCTTCTCTGGAATGTCAGCCACGCTCGAGTCAGTATCTCCATAAATTTCCCCAGCCTTCCTTTGTCGGTCTCGCCAGAGCAAGCAGAGCACGAGTGATATACAAGCCACTAGCAAAGGTTAGCGCGAAAGCGTAGCCCGGATTCTGAAACGGCTCACGCGAAAGGCAGTGGAGGATGATGGAGTAGTGATACCCGCGTGTCGCCCGGGGAAAATCAAGTGTTTTCCAAACAAAGTTTGGCGCGATAGCGGTGATAACATAGGCCAGGTCGTTTCCGAGCGCGACCACAATCGCGCGCAACTCGTTCTGGAACCAAAGTCAGCTTTAAAGCCACTAGGCATCGTAATACTCACGTCGTCCCCGCATATCTCGCTGGTCCATGCATGGTTGAGGGCCCCTGTAGCGGACTGTAGGAGGAGAGTTAACAACAGAACAGGTACTGAATGGAGAATCCGACGCACTGGAACGCCGGCGAACCAGAAATACAAGAAATGTCCGCGGATGTTCTCGTAGAGCGGCATTGTGAGCCACACTGTATCCATCATGATGCCATATAGCGCAGTAAATGCAAGGAATGGCCACCGAAGACCTAGGGAAAAAATGTTCATCTTATCGACCTTGGGGACAAAATGAGGCCTTACCTTTGAAGGGACCGTCGCTGACACAAGCAAAAACGATGGCTGAAGTGACGAAGATGGCGGTGCCGGGCAGTGGATCTAGAGGCGATGAGCAAAAGAGACGACGATGGCAAGACTATCACGGACACAGTTGGATCTGCGAAACAGTCCAGGTCCTCCCGGGTACCGGATGGGGTTTTGCATTGAAGCTCTTCATCCAGTATTGCACGGGGTTTTGCACGGGAGCGTTGAAAGCCAGTGTAAACAAGAAGGGGAGCACATAAATTTTCCAATTCTTGAAGATGCGGCCAAACTGTGCGGAGGTCGCGTTGAGCATAAGAAGTCAGACCTACACCGGGGCCAACGCACCTTGGCAGAGGACCACGATTCTCGTTCCTTACGACCGACAGCCTTCATACGTAAACAGGCCATCTCCACTTCCTTTAGAGAATCCCACGAATGAGCTCTGGCTATCAGAACTGGCAGAGTAATACGCACCTGAGAGCTAAGTAGTGGTGAGGGGTTTGGCGACCACGGCAGATTGGGCAATAGGTAAAATCCGAGCAGGGCAATGGGTAAGGTTCTGTCTAACGTTAGGTTGACACTCATTGGGGCGCGCTAACAACACGCACATTATAGCGTCGATGATCATAAGCCATCTAAAATGCTCAGTGACAATATCTGAAGCGAGAAGTAACGCCCGCACCTCCAGCCCGCTAAGCCATGGACTCCGTTCAGATGCTTGTATGCAGCCGTCTGCAAGAAGCCGGAGAACATCATCCCCATATTCCCCGATGCGTAGAAGAGCGACATTCGCTTGCCGAGCTCGCGAGGAGTGTACCACGATCCAAGGATATAGTTCATCCCGGGATAGAAACCGGACTCAAATAGGCCAACAAGGAAGCGAAGAGCATATAGCATCTTCGTCGACTTGACCGAATATGTGGCGAGCGTCATGAGGCCCCACAACAGCTCCAGCTGCGAATCGCGAATGTGAGCGCTAAGAAGAGCAAGAGATGATGAACTCACGGTTGGTATTACATAGCGAGGCGAGACTCGTGTGAGGAGAAGAGTCGCGGGAATTTGCCCTATGACATAACTACAGCGCCGTAAGTCGCGAGCGTCGGGATCGGGGGAAAACACGATTACCCCGCTGTCCAAAACGACGTCGCATGCACCAGTTCGTTGCCATACATGTTCCTGGTTCACGTTACCAACGCCGAATGTACATAAGCGAGCATAGACGCACAAGTCTTCCTTCATTCCAGCGAAGAACTAGAGCGGAGTGAGCAAATAACGGTGGTAGGGCAAGGACATACGGCGCTTTGAATGTTCGACTGAAGATCATCAGAGCAAAACTCGACGATGAATGGAAATACTCACTTGATCAAGGTTCTTGACGAAGTAGCCCAACTAAATGCTGATCAGAAAGCGAAGCCACCGTCGCAGCGAAAAACGCGGGCGCACCGAAGCTAACAGCAGCAACGATCCATCCACCTTGAACATCATCCAACGCTCTTGCGGGCCCAAGTCCGCCGTGTCCCACACATACCCGAGCCAGGACTGCTTCTGGGAGCTCTGGTCCTTGATTTCGAGCGAGGGCTGCGATGCGTAGGACTCGCTGTCGGATTGAGGCATTGGAGGGGTGTCGAGCAGCCAGGTTCGGGTCGTTGGAGCGTTAAATAGCCAAGCCAGCGCGACCGAACAGAAGTAGTAGCGAGACAGGTAGCCTGCAAGCAATATTCACTAAGATAAGGGGCTGCCCCTTTCAGCAAGCTATTCTCGGCGTGAGCCAAAGCCGGAGTACGGAAAGACCACTCACCAAACGCTACACCCACCCGCCGCGCAATGTTAGGACCTGAAATGTCCGCTCCTGAGTTTTGTCTCGCAGACAAGATAAGTGCCTCCGGTCGCGGCGTCTTCACACTCCTCATTTACACAGAAATGAAACTGATTGGGTGCCAGCAGAATGTCCTGGAGAATGTCATTGTGGCGCGTCCGGTTCTTAGGGATTCATACGTCGCGGCTTTAGGTGGCGTTTCGATAGGCCGGTCCCTTGTCCTTGTACTTTCGGCACCTCTCGAGCCCTGCCGCGTAGTGAAAGTGGACATGACAAGAAAAGGCAGGGAATATTTACACGTCACAATGATCTAGCACAGCCTCGGAATTTTTTCGTGATGGCCGGCTCGCGATCGGGATTAACCGGGAGTCAAGTCCGACAAGCGTGGGGATTACTTATATCCAAAATTTCCAAGATGCTCAAAAGTAGAGTATATACAAGAATAGTAGGACTGGGACTCGCACAGTAGGACTCAGTCCTACTTTGATGGTCCCAGTCCTACTCCGGGCTAAGACAGTGGGACTCACGGTGATCAACACAACCGCCAATTTGTTGGACTGTGATAATGTTTACTTGTTCACTCGCTCATTAATATACATTGCATAGCCCGGAAATGCCTCCCCGAATCTCTCCGGGATCTGCCTCGCCGCCTCACGAGCCGATGGGTATGTGACTCCGTCGATCTCACAGCCCCAGTTGATCAATGGATCCTTCGTGCCGGTCTTGGCTCGCTTGGGTACAGCCACACTCGGGGGCAAATCATCGTCAGCCCTGCGTTTGGCTCGGGGATTTGCCCTTGTACGTCGACTGTCAGACTGGATCACTGTCTGGACTCTATGAATATACATGTATAGTGGAGAGGGGTTTGCATACAGGGTTAATCGGTGCGCTGACCGCGGCCGGCCCGGCGCCCGGCTGGGCGGGAACCACAGGTAACTGAGAAATAGTGTTGCTTCCGGACAGCGGAGTAGCCTGAGGTGGAGCAACGGCCTAGGTTGACATGAGTCAAGCTGCACTGAAGCATACAATCCACGTACCATGGCATCTAATGCAGACGGCCCGTTGGCCACTAAATCTGGTCGGATCATCGGCGGATCGAATGGTGCCATTGCTAGGTCAATCTCCGCGCTGCTGAAGTCGAATATATCAGCGCCATTCAGAACTAAAACAGGTGAGATAGAAAAAACAGATGACACAAGCTTACCTCCGGGCGGAGGTGGCTCGAGCGCAGGGTCGAGAGGAACCGGCGCCGGCAGCGTTGACACAAAGTCTTCGGGCATATTTAGCCGGGGCATAAAGTCGGCGTTGAAATCATGTCCGTCGTCAGTATCAGGCGCCGGGCCAGCCATCTCGGAAAGGAATTCTGCTCCAATAGAATCACTCGGAGTGGCTATCACGATGAGGGTGTCAGCGACCACTCAGACACAAGGTTTCAAAACGAGACACACCACTGGAGTTGCTTGTGACCGCCCGACGACCACCAATTTGAACTCCTTTGAGTGGCCCTGCCCGGAGTTCCTTCAATTCCGCGTCGATAACAAGCCTACGCGCCGTCCAATCCCGTCGGGCCTGCTTCTCGGCCGCAATTTCGCTCCGCAGAACCTTGATCTCATGTTTCAAATCGTCTCGCCGCTTGTCCACCGCAATCTGCTCCTGAAGCTCTGCAATATCCTGCTGCAGCTGCCGCTCCCGTGCTATCGATAGCTTCGACTCCTCCTGCCCATCCTTGCGCTCTTCCGTTAAGTCGTCAAAAGCACGGAGGTGCTCGTTTCGGTCGTACGCTTGATGTGCTCCCCATTCGCGCCTCTGAGCAGCCAACTTCTCGCGCTCCGCGGGGCCATTCCAGCGTTTGCGCATGACACCATCCCGAGCAATTTGTCGGAGCCGATCGACTTGCGCGTTGTCGCGAGCCTTCTTCCTGGTCAAATATTAGCATTGCTTCAATGTTAAATCATAATCACATACTTTAGGATGCCTGGTAAGAGCGCTAAGCGAATTGACGTCTCAGCGTTCATGCCCGCATGCGCACTTTCTGCCAGATTGGTTGTACTCGGAGTGATGCGGTGGTCATCTAGCGATATCTTCGACAGAAAAGAGTTGATCGAAGGCAGATACCATGGGTTTGCCACTTTTTGTGCATACCAGTCTTTGAATTTGTGAGTACCCTATCTGTTAGTTGACATAGAACACAATATCACATACTTTTCACCGCTGGAATCGTTTGCGCACGACAAAACTGATGCCATTCATCAATTTCATCGTCCGAGGCAAGACCAAGGATGGACTTGAGCCGAGAAATGATATCATGCGGGACATTTGCACGCGAAAGCTCGTTGATATGGCTGATTGGGGCCATTTGAGCATGAAAGTGTCAATAGTAGAATGATACGCACCGCTGAAAATGTATTGTACACGTCTTGAGGCAGTAAAGAATGAGTTTAAGTGGATCTGCCTCGTTGATACCACTAATGGAGGGTGCGTTGTACCGAGTTAAGAAGTCGCCAAGGCCCTGTGCTTGAGCCACCTCACCGTCCATGATGATCACTCGACACGCAGCATCGGGAAAAAATGGACGTAGACGAAAAGGCCGGGCCGTGACACGAGAGATTGTGTCGAAGAACTCGGAGAAAAGTTGGGCATATGAAGGGCGGGTCTTGCGGTCACAGTAGAGAGTCGCAAAGACGATGCCTTGGTACCAGTCAGACCTTGTGACGAAACCCAAGGGACTTGATGCACTCACGGCACTTGTACCGATCAGAAAATCCAACAACCTCCCATTCGTCGAAGCTCCCCTCCTGGGCCCTCCACGCGCTTGAATGTATAATCGATGGCAATGGCCAAAACACTATGGATATAGTGGGCGAGCTGGGGATGCATTGTTACCACAATATTGTAGTCGGCCCTTGAAATCGCCGCATGAACGTAGCGCTCTGAAATGGGGACCTCGCGTTCTTTTGTAGATATATAATGAAGCACGCCTGAATACAATCAGAGGCAGTTGAGCGAGATCAACAAAGAACCGCCTACCTTCCCACCCAGTTCCACGCGGAAACTCCTCTTTACGGCGCTCCGCAATTCGATCCCGGACTTTCCGGACATCGGCAAATGCCGGACTAACCTCGCTGACTTGCTTTCCCCCATACAATGCGACGGTCGATTGTGCTTTCACGAAGATCAATGATTGTAAACTGAAGGGCCGAAGTGACAAACCATTCAGCAATGTTTGAACTGTTAGATTCTCGACACCGATTCCGTCGATTGCGGCGTCAAGCCGTCGAGTGTCGTCAGCACTTGGTTTCGTCTCGGGGTGCACTGGATGGCTATGCGCGATTTTGACCTGCACAATAGCCATGTATTCGTATTCATCTCGCCATTCGTACCAGTCCCGATGGCGGCGGTCGAGGGGCGGACGAACAGGGACAAAGACAAGCATTGTGGTGTCACACTTATGGGGAACCATCCGTGCGTCGTGGATCTGCCCATTAAGAACATGGCTAAATACTGTGCTAGATTAGCTATGACAAAACATCAGGCTTTGAACGTACCACAATGAGCTAAGCCGACACGTGGGTGCACCGAAAGCACACAGTGACGGTTGAAGTCGGATGTAGCTGGGCCGGGTAGACGGCCTTCATTTTCCAGCACATATCTGAACACATCCTCATCAACATTGGATGGCACCGCAAAATAGCGATGCAGCCACCGCTCGCTCGGATGCCAGCATGGACAACCAATAAAGTAAATCTTCCCATATTGATTTGGGCCCTATTGGGTTTGTGAGTGCGGGAGAGCTCGTCATTGACTACCCACATTTCGCAGTGGAATAAGGATAGGAATGCCCGGGCATCCCGCCTTTTTACATTTCGAGCGACTAACCCGTATATAGAAACTGAAATACAAGTTAGAAGTAAGAGGCGCGCGGAAAACGGAAATGCATACCGCGAGATAATAGCGGACACTGAGCCGGCTTCTCTCTCGTTGGCGTCAAGCTCGTGACTCCAGAGTTCCTGCATGTCAGAGTCATCCCGTTCGTACCGCTCGCAGTCTCGGAACAGCTCATCGGATGCATGCTCGCATGTCAAAACCCCTTTACAACCTAGTTGCACTCGACGTGCACGTACCCTACTGCCACCGAACGCATAGACCCATACATCACCCTCCTTTCGACCCGTGGAGCCATCCCACGCGTCTTGGTCCTGTAGACACGATAAGCACTGAATATATAGCTATGTAGCGGTCCGCTGACCTCTGCCCGTAGATAAGCGTCGACTGTACGCTTCTTCCTGTGTTTGTCGAGGAGGACATGCGGAGTCGCCGACAGGTCAAGAATGTACGCACTCCCGTCACGTGGAATATCCCAAGATTTCGGAGCCGCAGTCAGTGGGATGAGATTGTCGACAGAGAGCTCCCGGGTGATCTTCACCCCTGCCTTCCCTTTCCCCTTGCCACGAGCTAAAACAAGTCAGAACACAAGATAGTATGAAATCAGGACATACGAACACTTAACGGGCTTTACAGCCTGGTGAGGCGATGGAGAACGCGACGACGGTAGCGAGATAGCGCCCCGCTCAACGCGCTGGTGCGAGAGGCCGCGTGTCGCCTGAGGCGATGGAGAGCGCGACACGGGGAGTGACAAAGCGCCACGAGAAGAAATTGATTGTGAGCGATGCACGGAAATGCTGGGGGAAAAGGGTGCGGTTTCAGGTGTTGGAGAACGTGATGTGGGCCGTGAAAAGGCACCGCGTGACGAAACAGAGCGCGAACGAAAGTCAGACATCGCAGCAATCGACTGAGCGCG